TAGTCAGGATTCAAAAAAGAAGTGAACATTGGCTTATTTATTTGTAGAAAGAGAGTCAGAATATTTTAGGTGGAAGTGAAATAGTGTTTGAAGATTGCCAGTTATTCAGTTTGTTTCAAGGAAGGTGAATGGTGCAAGTTAAATCTTTAACTTAGTCATTGAATTTATTTATTAATGTATCAGCCACTGTGTCAAATGCTAGAAATAAATTTATTTTTTATTTCATTTCTTATTTTTGGCTGCGTTGGGTCTTTGTTGCTGCATGCAGGCTTTCTCTAGTTGCAGAGAGCAGGGGCTTCTCTTTGTCGCGGTGCGCGGGCTTCTCATTACAGTGGCTTCTCTTGTTGCGGAGCACCAGCTCTAGGTGCAGGCTTCAGTAATTGTGGCTCGCGGGTTCTACAAGCACAGGGTCAGTAGTTGTGGCACATGGGCTTAGTTGCTCCGTGGCATGTGGGATCTTCCCGGACCAGGGCTTGAACCTGCATCCCCTGCATTGGCAGGCAGAGTCTTAACCACTGCGTCACCAAGGACGCCCTACAAATAAATTTTATATGAGACATACACAGAACCAGTCTCCATGTAGGCAAGTGGGAATCCATTGAAATGTTTTGAGCAGTGTGGTCACTTTCAGATTTATATTTTTAAAGAGAATTATAACCATGGTGTAGAAAATAGAAAGTGAGGCTCAGTTAACTGCATAAGAGAGCAGTTAAAAGACAACTTCAGAAATGTGCATAGGATACCACTGCTTGAACCAGGGCAGTGGCACTGGGCTAGAGAAAAGGGGATAGGTAACTAGAAAGTTATAAATGTCTTAACTTTGGGTAAGAGTTGCAGTAGTTGAACACTCCCTCCCTGAATTCTCTAGTTTCCATTTCCTTAACTCTACCCACTCTTCCTACTTCCTGTATGTTTGATAGAACCTTCCTGGTATCATTCTCTTTTTCTCAAATGTTGGTGCTCCTTCAGTCCCCTTTTCATGCTTTTGAACTCCTGGATAATCTCATCTAATTCTGTTGCTGTGAATTAAGCTTAAGACTTCTTCAGCTGCTTTTATGCTGAGTTCAGACCACGTATATTCAATTCAACATCACACCAGTTCTGGGTTTGTAAACTGAATTCATTTTTTTCCCAAAACCTGCTCTTTCTTTCTTGCCTTCCCTCTCAGTGAATTAACATACAATACAAATACAACCCTTATCGTTAGGTTTATATGGATCCTCTCTAACATCTCCATTCTTTTCTATCTCTAATACAACTGTCCTAAATTCTTTACTTCTGCAGTAACATTTACTGGGCTCTTTTTCTGTATTGTCATTTCATACATTCTCTTCAGCTGCCTTGAGGAATCATTCCTAATATTTAGTTAATAACCTCATATTTCTTCAGTAGCATCCCTTCACCAATGTAATTAAATAACAAACTTTTCTTTATGAATGCTTTGTGGTCTTTCCCCCAGATAGCAAAAAGGCATTTTTCTTTGTCTAAATCTTTCCTTGGTGACTTTCAGCTTTGTTCCCTGAATTAGTGTTGTTATTTTTCTAAATCTTTTCCTCTTAGTGACTTACTAAATTACCTATGACTGCTAAAGCCTGGGTCAGGAAACTTGTTTTATAAAGGACCAGATAGTAAATATTTTAGGCTTTGTGAGCCAGTCTCTGTTGTTATTTGGTTCAGCCTTGTACACAAAAGCAGTGGGCGTGGCTCTGTTCCAGTAAAACTTTAACAGCTGGTATGTAGAACCCAGTTGGCTGACTGCTTTAAATTAGCACACCTTGTTTAATACCATCAAGCTTTGTGCTGATGCTTCTTCTACCTAGAAAAGCTAACCTACCTACTCTACTAAGCTCACAGAGGCAGAGCATTTCTTTCTGTTTTTGCATCTATATCCCTATCCCCTAAGTAGTGCTTTTTAATCCACTTGGAATTAAGAACTTGTAGGTAATTGGACATTTACTACAGGAAGCCTTGAGATAGGGAACTACCTAGAAGGTAGTCTGCTTTAGAAAATTGAATGTTACATTTTCTTCATTTGAGTGGCATTACTAAATATTTGAATTTTTAAAATTTTGATACAGTAAAATTTCAAATTTGGGTGGTGGTAGTTTAAATGATAGAATCGTGACAAAATTGCCTACCAAGTTTGGCCCTGTGGCTGTTTCTCAATAACTGTTTACATAATTGGATGATGTGATTCCTGTTTTAAAAGAACTGGGAAGTTAGACGTGTGTGTGTGAGTGCATGCGTGTAGAAGAGGGCAGTGTTAAAAGTAAAAAGATTAATGTTATGCTATGTTATGATTCTGTATAGTTGAAGGTGCCTTCTGTAGGCTTCTTTATACTTGTTCAGCTTCTCTTGTTATAAAGTTAAACAGAAACTCATTTCATATTTAACGTCTGAATCCAAACTTTTGTAACCTAAAAGAGGGCAAAATGTCATTCACTTCTTTCCCATGTGTTCTCTGTCACTAGCTTCTTGTTAGTCTTTTTAGAGTGGTTGAAGCATGGCATATAATCCTGCAAACAGTATTTGATTTATTTCCCCTTTTTCATCTTAACTTGGAGTTTCATGGAAACATTAAATTCTAATCAAGGAAATCAAGTTGCTACTAGTTATAGAAGTAATTGATATTAAATAGCAGGAAGGGGAATTGCATTCATTTCTCAGTACAACACTGCAGATAATGCTGATTTCCTGGCTGGAAGCTAGGCTGGCCCATGACTAATTTTTTAGCTAAGTCAGCATCCCTTTTCCCTCCTCAGAATTCATAGTCAAATTCACTACTCCAGAGCCCATATTTGAGGGTAATAAAATTTTCTTGCCAGAAGTAATTTAAAATTATTAGAGTAGAATGTAAAGCTGAATGTCCTAGTTGAAGCTAAGGAAATATCTTCAATCCACTAAAGAAATGGGATGTTTGCAAATAGTTATTTTTGTCTTTATTCTAAATGTGTATGTTTACTCTGCTTTAGAAGTACTATAGTATGCTGTTACTGTGACTCTTGAATGTAGTGCCCTTCTCCCGCCCCGCCGCCCCCCGCCCCTGCCAAAAACAGGGTGGGGCAGCGGCAGATTGAGGTTTTTGGCTGGGAAGAGAAAGGAAAATGTTATAGCATAGGCGGGCTGTAACAATGAAAAGTTCTATTGTTCTTTTCTTTTCTCAACATACAACTAAATATAGATTTATCTTTGCATTAAGCAGACTTTAAATAATGAGCATCAAGTAATCTGTGTATACAGAACTCAGGAATTTATCTGTTGCAAAATGGGAGATTTCTGTACTTTAAAAGGGGGAAAGGTGGTCGGATTAATTTTTTCTGTAGTGAGGTCAACCAAGGGAAGGCTTATCTTTGGACTTCTTAAAGTAAGCCATTCTGAGATCCAGAAGTTTGTAGATAACAGCTCTAATGACTATTGCAGCTACTCCTAATTGCCTGAAACTAGTGGGATTAGAAATTATATTGAAGTAATAGATACATGAGTGCCATGACTAGAATTCCTTAACTGATATATCTTCTTTATTTTCCCAGATTAGACTGGTTACGGTTCTCTCTCCTTAGACCTCCTAGGAGATGGGAATTTTCCTGCCAGTCTTTAGATGGGCATCTGCTCAGCAATTTAAAGGCCATAGCGTCCATCTAAGCTCTTGGACCAAGTGGCAACCAGTGCATTATTCCCAGTCTTTGTTTAATCATGGAATTGCTGTGATACCTTGAATGGGATTTTATCTGGATAATTCTTTGATCATTTTGAATAATTAACCCATTACTCCAAACATCCAATTTTGACAAATTTTCAAAAAATCTTAGCAGTTTTTTTAGAAGTGAGTTTGATGGGGTGGGGGCAGGGAGAATGTGATTCTACCATTCCCTGACCCCATCCATTCACATAAAACAAAAAGTAATAATTTTAGATCTAGACACTTACTTCCTTTTAGCCCTGGGGAGCTATTATGTTATACCTTGACTATAACCCATGTTCAGATACATCTGATCTTAATGAGCTCCAGTTTTATTTTTCCTTAACTATAATTGGTTGCTGATAAATTATAGAATAAAATTACAGACAGTCCAGTTAAACAGAATAAAAATCACCTTATTGTCTTTTCAAAATGGTAGTTATAGGGCCGTGGAAGAGCACTTATTCTCAGTGTTAGTTATAGGTCATTCCTATTACTAAGTAGTTTTTGTTTACATTAATCTCCTTTCAAGGAACAGTTCTTAGGTTCTTGTGGTGTAATAGTCGTCTACTGTCTTATTCCTCAAGACTTCAAATATCCCTTCTGTGAAGCTTTTTCTTATGCTTCCAGGTAGAGTTTGTCTTGCCCTCTCTCTGTATGTCACTACAGTTTGGTCATGTACCTACTTCCCTTATTCTAAGATACTAAAATAGGCACATTGTAAATGATCACATTTGAATGGAATTGGAACAGATAAGGGTTGTGTGTTATTAATAAATAGGTATGGATTGACATTTTGACCTTATGGGTTAAGAAGAGTAGGTTGGGTTTGTAGGAGAGAACTACTTACCTATAACACAGAGTTAAGTAAAATTTTAATAAGGCATTTTAAGTGTCAGGCTTAATTAAATTTGATGAATGCTTCATTCAAAAGACATCAGCACCTTGTTGAAGGATGATGGGTTCCCAAAAAATACTTGGTGTTTTTTAATAACAATGAGCTATTACAAAAAAAATCATTTTATCTATAGCATGCATGTGCATATCTTTACTGTTTGTGCAGACAGAATTGTTCTCTTGGCAATTTGATTTCAGGTAATAATTGATTTTCTGTAATCAACATTTAAGGCCATCTCAGTGACACTCTCAAGAATTAAAGGAAAATATGAAAATTTTGTCTGGGTTTCATAGAACCCAGCCCTACCTCCAGCCCAGCAATAATCCGTCTAGGTTTTTTAGGTTTAAAGTGAAAAGGATAGCTTTAAACTTTGCTCTACAAAACTTGGTGTATAAAAATAATCCTTTTTTTTCTTCTTTGCAGAAATGGAATCTGTTTGGAATTTGCAGAAGCAAGGTAAGAATGGTTAGGTTACCTAAAATGTCCTTATGGCCAGTCTTTATCTGTATTTGTGTGATAGACAAAGGGTAGCCTAAGAACTGAAATTCATAGTTCATAAAAATATTAGCTGTTTTAAAAACCTTATTTGGGCTGTATATTCTCTGAAAAGAAGGTTAGAAAGCTACAGAATAGCAGATTAGCTTCCTTCACTCCCGTAAACAAGATGTGAGTAGCAGGAGGGCAGAGGGACTGGATAATCCACATCTGGATAATTTGGAATTTTCAAAAAACTGAAAATTGCTTATCTTAATTATTGAGTGCTTTCTTTCCAAATACAATAAAATATGTTAGTTGTGGGATACCTGAAGTAAAGTGAGTATTGGTTTGGAGAGTCAGTCACTAATAATAGATTTTGGCTTTCAGAGCCCTGTAAGCCCACTTACAGGGCTGGATCCCACTTGCCATCCACCTTGCTAGTTAAAATAAGTGAATTTCAGATGAATGTGAAAGTCCTAGAATTTCAGAACTTGAAGGCATTAGAAATTCGTGTTTTTTACTACAAATTAGGAAACTGAGGCACAGAGGGGTTACTATATAAACTAGAAAGTATCCGGACTAGAAAGTAAGATTCCCCGATTTTCCAGCATTGCTTCTTCTTCCATCCTCTCTCTTATTCTTAGGCCAGGTCTTTTTCGACTAACACAGCCATGACCTGAAAATAACTAGCAAGCTCTTAAATTATTTTGAATTGCTTTCTGTGTACCTTCTTATTCAAACACACATTTAAAACATAGACTAGAAAATATACCCTGCAGAAGTAGACCTACCTGTTTTTTACTCTAAAATGGTTATTAAATATTAAGAATTGAGCATTGCCTTCCTGGCAAGCTGCTAATGGATGTCCCTTGGAGTTCTAGAAAGGGTATTGTTTCTGGACTAAGTTAGATTGATTCTTAGCCTCAGGTGAGCTTGAATTCTTCGATATTATTTTCAGGCCTTTATACTTTTCTATTAGGTTGACAAGTTTTATTTTTATTAAAGCATGTGTACTTCAAAATAGACATAGGGTAGATAGACATAGTATGTAATAAAAACATTGCTCTCCAGAAGAGGGGGGCATACAGATAAATAATGGGAATTTAAAATAACACTGGAGTCTTTGCCCAGACACATTCTGACTGTTTTATACTTCAACCTAGGATATCCACAGGTTTTTGCTATTGCTGAGAATAAAGTCTGGTGGTGCTATGGGAAATTAGAGGGAAGAAATAAGTCATAATTAGGACTGAACTGGTAGTTTTGCTTTAATTTAACCTGAAATTTTTGGTGCTAGGTGTTTCTTGAACAGTTCCTTAATAGACAATCCACATTTCTAAATAAATTTTGTCTTCATTTTGCTGAGAACAAAAGAAAATAAATCTAAGTGTTTACTTTAGTATTGGATTATTGATGACTTAACCTTTGTCTGCTTTTTTCAAATGTGCTACTTTTATAATCAGGAGAAGCACATTGTCCTGGTTAATTGAACTCAACCCTCTTAACCTGTAGATGTTGAGGCCCCTCACTGGCTCGAGGACCTTTATGCTGGGAATCCATTGAGGTGGATTTATTTGATTGAGAAAAAGTGGATCACACATGTGTTGATACAAAGAGGAAATGGTCTTTAAATTGTGTTTTCATAAAAGGAGTTTACATGATGATGGTTATTTGGGATTTGTTTTTTGAACATGGGCATTTGGGGATTTCAGACCTTGTTTTTATTTATGTGTTTATTTTTTAAACTTCCCTCCAGATCCCAAAAGGATAATCACTTACAATGAAGCCATGGATAGTCCAGATCAATGAAGGACCAGACTGCCTATTTGTAACCTTTCTGCAGCATTAGAGCCACCGTTCATGGGGGACACAAGGCTTTTATGCTCCTAGATCTTCAACGCAGCAGAGGAACCATAAGTAGAATCACAGGATAATATATACAAATATATATATATATACATATATATATATAGTTATTTAAAAAAAAGGCACCTGAAAGTAATTAGACTTCTTAAGGAATCAAATTTATTTCAAGAGACTACACATGGTTATTTAATCTCTGGTACTGAATAGTTTTTTTTTCTTTTGTTAGTTTTCGTTTTTAAGTGTGAATGCAAGTGATTAATGAATATGGACTTATTAACAAGTGTGGTTCTAAAGTTCCTGCTGTCATCAACTTGGGCAACAAATGACCCACTGGAAAGGCAAATCCACTTAAAAGATCTCTGTATCTTGTTCTGTGACTAAAGTGATACACTAATCACGGGGAACCCAGAATGATTCAACATTTCCCCCCACTCCTCCCTTGATCTTTGGTTGTACTATGAGCCCTGCGAGAATGCTGGATAAAATGCCTTGAAGTTTGCAGGGGTGTATTTTTTTAGCGAATATGATTTGCATGTCTTGCCAGGAGTTAAGCAGCCTCTGTGGGGTGTTGGGGAAATATTTTCTTTCTTTCCTTTTATTTTTTTGTGGGGTGGGAATAGGGGAGGGCATTGAAGTTCTACAGTTCTGGAATAGTTGGTGGTACATAGTTCACTTGGCTTTGGTTACATATTGGACTTTAATAAGTGAAGAATCCATGAGTGTCATTTAAAGAAAAGTTACAGAACAAACAATTGGCTTTAGATATTTAATATGGAAAAATACTCCTGTGCCCATATTTTAATGTAATTGTAAGTGGGAGCAAAAATATATTCTGCTTTTCAACTGTAGGTGCTCCGGACTTGCTCTCTGTCACTAACACTAAATGTGCTGTTTTTCTTGTTTTTCATCAAACATCTGAAGAGAAACTTCTGTACCTTTCTGTAAATTCTCTTTTAATTTCTCAGAAATAATCTAAAGGGGGAAGAAAAAAGCCCATGAAAACTATGAAACTTCATGTTTTTAGCCAGTGAGGAGGTAATAAACCCTGCCTATAGAAGGTGTGTTTCCATTCAGACTATACTTCTGAGCTTATTAGCTTCTGATTATATCTTAATAAATATATTTTAATACTAGAGCAAATGGGTTTTTTAAAGAAAATAATGTGAAATTCTGGAAATTTTCTTTTGGGCAGAGAAGAGCATTAGCCCTGTCTTATCATCACATTACCATCCTGTTGCACTGCAGCTTGTATATAGCATGCTAAAATAAATTTTTTTGTGTGTGCAGAAACTAAGGGTCCAAGTTAAGATTGGGTGGTGTTAGTGGCGTAAAAACAAGTTCTCTGGCCTGACATAGCATTGCGTCACACACACATAGAAATTAGTATATCCATGTATGTCAAATACAGGTTAAAATAGCAGGGCATTTATATAGAGAGATGTAGTCTTCTAATAAAAGTAGACTGGATCCCCAGGGGTATTTGGGGAGAAAGTAACTACTTTTGCTCACCCCTTTTGCTTAAGAAATGTCCAGTTCTGAGCGACTGTAGTATGGATGAGCTTTCTTGTTTTGTTGATTATTTGAGGCTTTTAACAAGTAGTTTGTGAAAGAAGCTGTTGGACTCAGCATAGAGTAGAGAAAATATCTTTATAGTCTGGATTTCTGCCCTGCTTAGATTTTAAAAGTATAAGCATGGATTGCCAATTCCACTTGATGTAAACAAAACTTTTATACATAATATATATATATAATAACTTATTGTATCAGTCCAGGTTCAGAAACTTGTGGTAGGCCAGTTCCAGATAGTTTCATTTCCCCTGTAAACTGTATCACTTTTACAGATATTGTAATTTTCAAATGTATAATATGTTTACAGATGTGCCCTGCATTTAGTCTGCCTTGTTCTATTTTGATTTTTGTTGAGTCTCCTGCCTGCTTGCCAAAAGCTAGGATGCTTCAGGCCCATGTACAATTGAAAGCAGAGGCATCCTTGAGCTTTAAAGCATTGAACAAACTGGAAAATGCATCATACCACATACTGAAGTGAAAGAAGTCTGTGTTTCTGTGTTTTTTTTTTAAATAAAAATTTTCAAAAGGTTAAAAAAAAAAAGATACAAGGTTGATTAAAGGAAAAAAAAGGCTCCAGTTTGTTTTACAGGTTTTAAAGTTCTGCTGTGTGTTCAATTGCCTTGTGTAACCACTTGTCGCCTTAGGGCCAGATTCTCTCCCTCTCCCCTTGTCACCCTCCTTTTTTTAAACATCCATTTTGCTTACCTGGAATTTGAAAGCTCTTCTGTGTCACAGCTCACAAGAAACTTTCTGGGTTTGTGATATACAGAGGTTGAATGAATACATATTTTAAAAGAAAAAAAAAAAAAACAGCCCGCATCTGAATTTTTAATTTAGAAGCAACACTTACTTGAAAATATCTTTTGAAAGTTGTCATTGCTTTCCTACTTCCCTTCCATATCCCTCAGGCCTCCATGTTTAGAGAAGCCAAAAAGAGAATGTACCCCATCTCTGTGTCTGTCCAAAGGTTTTTGAGTCTCACTTCTAAATGAAACAATGCAACATTTCACTTTGATTTCCCCACTGAAATATCCTTGATTATATGGTTAGAGGTATAGAGTTAGGGATGTCTCTTAACCTTCTGGAACCCTAGTGCCCCATAATTAACTGTCAGTATTTTGGGGGCATTGGGTTAATGGACTTACTTGCCTAGGTACAAGCAGGACTTTGAGACATGTCTCCTTTGTGCTGTTTGGTAACACTTAACTCTACTTGTCGCAATCTTTCTTAGGTCCTCACACAATTCCTTACAGAGCACTTATTAAAAAGAAAAAATCTTAAGAGTTGATGTTTTCTGATTATTTTGTGTAAGCTTCAGCTGTGATTAATTTAGCACATTTAAATAACATTGATGTGTTATTGTTCGGTATAAAGAATTTTTCTTCAACTCAGAGTATTAGTACTGTAGCATAAACCAAATACAGTCTAGAGGGGATTTTGAACATCCCTCCATTATAAAGACTGAAAAGGTGTGTGTCTGTGTGTGTGTTTGTTGAGTGCTTGTGTGTGTGAGAGAGAAGGAGATATTAAAAATTAGTAAATGAATGTGTGTAAGACATTATATTAGTATTCAGAGAATGAACTTGTATTTATTTTGTGCCATTTGTTTTCATTACACAGAATAGAGTCAGGTGGTTTTAATCCTTAAAAGGGTAGTATTTGAAAAATGGCACTAAGAATGAAATCATGACCTATTTTTTTAATAGCTATGAAGATACTAATTAAGGGTGAAGGTTTCTTTTTAAATCTGTCTTGATTGTAGGTGTCTGTGTCACATACCACTCTCTTGTAGATGTCTTGAATAATTCCCCTTCCCCACAAAAGACAGGGTGTATTTATCTTTCTCTTCATTCACCCCACTTTGCTGAACTGAAGTTAATTCCATAGCCTTTCCTCTGACTTCAGTAATAATGAGCTTTCACATACAATGTATTTACAGCATCTGTAGTCAGCCCTTCCTCCTCCTCTACTTTCTAGGAGTGGATAGACAATAACTAAGAATTTGTTAATGGCAGTTTGTTTTTCCTTAAAGTAAATGGCTGGAGAGGTTTAGAATTTTGCTGTTTTCCTTAATCATCTGCTTACCCTAATCATCACAGAATCTGCAAAAACTTTATAAAGGAAAAAAAAGTGCTGCATTGTTTTTTCAAATAACATTTTCTAGGGAAAATATGACAAACCTCAATGAGTGTTGTCCACAGTACAAAATGTGTTTCTTTCACAAAACATTACATAGCAGTGGTAGTTCCGTACTTGGTTGTTAGGCTTGTTGCTAACCCAGTTGGAGGCATCTAATGGTTTATTTTTTGCTGTAAACTTTTTTAGTGAAATTGTATGTCATGTACCAAATGGCCACAGTCAAGGAAATTTAGAAGAGGACTTTGAATAAGGAGGAAGTCATTCTTTCGAGCCTTTCTTCCTCAAGTTCTAGAAATAGATTAAAAGTCCACACTTTCCAAGGATTATGAGAATAGTTATGCCACTGAGCCATATCCTCAAATAACACATGATCCCTCTTGTATACCTGTGCTAACTGTAAAACAGACACTATAGTGGGACAAATACAGATTCTGATCAGGCAATGTCTTTTAATAGTCCTACCCATAATTTTACTGTTCAGTTTTTAAAAGAAAGGGTAGAATTTGCTCAGCTTTTTTCCCCCCAAAATGTTGATATTTGTTTAAAGGAGAGGGGCAGAGGATAAGACTAAAAGAATAATAGCTGCTTTACGTTTGCAGAGATGCATTAGGTTATCATTAGTTCTTAATATTGATGTTATTTTCATTAATGTAATTAATTGACAGAGCACCAGGATTCTTTTATTTTGAGAAAGATGGGCTTCTGCTTTAAGTATCTTAAAATGTTTCTTTTTAAATATATATCAATCTGTTCAGATGTGTGAGAACCAGGACCCCCCTGGGTTGGTTTAAAGAATGATGAATCATTGGCTTCACTCAAAAGCAAAATTTCACTTCACTCAAAATTTACCGAGTTTTAAATTAAATTTCACACCATTTTGCTACTCAAGAAGGGTCTTACGAATAAATAGAGTTTTAAGTTGTCTACACAATAAAAACACTCAGTGAAGCATGAATGGTATATTGCTTTTGCATTACTGGGAGTGTCGAATAGCAGTTATGTGCTAGAAACCTATGGAACAGCCATCCTCACAAGTGGGTTTGCTGATACAGACTTCCCTATTTATCCGTAAGATTTTGTTTATGTCCAGAGTTCTAAAGCCATTTTATAGTACTGCAGTATCCCTTTTCTGCAGCCTTATTAAAATAGCTACCGACATTTATTTTCCAGTTCAGTTTCCCTTTGGTTGCATATCAAAATTTTACTCTGTAGACCAACAAAACCAACTTGAGGTAAATTGCAGAGCTTTCCATAAACCTTTTCTCCTCAGGTGCTAAACAAAGGCTCCAAAAATGGATACTGCTTTAGTAATGTCTGCTTTATTCTTAAATATTTCTTTTGCTAGGTGTAAAGATTTGGTGTTAACAAAAGTGGTTTAATATGTAAATATGAATGAATGCCTTTAGTTTACCCCTGTATGTTTCCTTTATCCTCCGTGGAGGAGGATCCTTTCATGATACTGAACACATTTCATTAGGTATTGTTGCATTTTTAGGATGAGAATACAACTATTTTCTGTCTTGGATTAATCCTGCTGCTGCTATGAGAAACTGAAAAATCAAGAATGTGATGCACTTTTTACATTACTATATACCATACCTTTATAGGTTGCTTTGATATCTTTCCTGTAGCACAGCCACTAACAAAAGTGAATGAATTTAAAAATTCTCTTTGGGAGGGAATTAGTACAAATTATTTATGGTATTGGCCTATGAAGGACATTAACTTAGGAAAATACAAATTCTGTTAATATTACACGTTTTGGCCTTAAAATGTCTTCTACTACTGAAAATCTTTTAAATCTTAATTTTGCTTCTGTTATTCCCTCTGCCTCAAAAAGAGGAGTTGGGAAGAATGGCTTAAAGGAAGTAGTATCATTGGCTTGTTGCTGATCTTTTAGAAAGAAAACAATTGTCTACTATATATACTGGGAGCTTATTTTTGTTTGTATACAGAGGAGAAATGATGTTGCCCCAAGCCAATCTGATTTAGTTTAATCAAATCAATCAAAACCAACTATTCTGCTTCTCTAGCATACTTTTACTTAGGAAAGATAAACTTATGCTACTTGACAAGAGGAAAAGTCATTTCTCAAGCACATACTCAAACTTGAAGGAGATTGAACCCAATATGATGGAGGAAAAACACCAAATGGGGTGGAAGAATATGAGAGAGAGATGTGGTCCAAAGCTATCTGATTATATTTTGATGTTGCCAATATTGCAAAGCCAAAATTTTAATTTGCTTATTTAATATATTTGTTGGCCAGAGATCTATTTTTATATCAATGTGCCTTGCATGTATATTAAAAAAAAAAAAATTGGAAAGGCCATGTTACAATGCCTGAGATAAGTTGATGGTTCTTACCACCTCACTAATTTTTATGCAGTATGAAATGCTCATTCTATCACCCAACTGGTGCTCTCT